GGACATCACATAAGAACATAAGAACATAAGAGACGCCAATGTTGGATCAGGCCCATCTAGTCCAACACTCTGTATCACACAGTGGCCAAAAATACCAGGTGCCAACAGGAGGTCCACCAGTGGGTCCAGGACATTAGAAGCCCTCCCACTGTTGGCCCCCCCAAGCACCAAGAAGACAGAGCATCACTTGCCCCAGAGCCCCTATCTATACCTTGTGGCTAATAGCCACTGATGGACCTCTGCTCCATATGCTTATCTAATTCCCTTTTGAAGCCGTCCATGCTTGTAGCTGCCACCACTTCCTGTGGCAGTGAATTCCATGTGTTAATCACTCTTTGGGTGAAGAAGTACTTCCTTTTATCCATTCTAACCCGACCACTCAGCAATTTCATGGAGTGCCCACGAGTCCTTGTATTGTGAGAAAGGGAGAAAAGTACCTCTTTCTCTACCTGTTCTTTCCCATGCATAATCTTGTAAACCTCAGTCATGTCACCCCTCAGTCGTAGTTTCTCCAAACTAAAGAGCCCTAAGCGCTTTAACCTTTCCTCATAGGGAAAGTGTTCCAACCCTTTTATCATTCGAGTTGCCCTTTTCTGTACTTTTTCCAAAGCTATAATATCCTTTTTAAGGTGTGGTGACCAGAACTGCACACAGTATTCCAAATGAGAGGAAGATCGTTCGCGGAGGGGGGGGGGGGAAATGGCACTGTTTGAAATGACCATAGCGTTTCAGAGATGGCTTATTAACGGAAGGAAATTCACTGTATAAAACTTCCATCCCTGTATCGCTTTACTCAAAATTGGGCCAACAATGAATAATATCCGGTTTAGGATGGTAATGTGAAAAGGGCCTATGTATATTCGGTTGTCTATAAACAGCAGAAAAAGTTTTGAGCACGGGTATTGAAACAGAACTTGCTTATGCATTTTTTAAGACAAATTAGCACTCAGACACACACCCCAGTTTCAAACACTACCTCCCAATTTTCCCAAGCTAGTTTCACTCACATGCCCAGAAGCAGCTCCAACACTTTCAGAGCTCCAGAGTATGCAATGAGCAACCCCTTTTAAGGATGCAATTCCAAACGCAGTTGCAAAACATTAAGTCCCATGGAATTATATGGAGCATAACTGCAACTACATATATTTAGCATAGTATATAGTTAGTTAGACTCTGAGAGTGTGGTGGATGCAAGATGGTCGTAGATGTACCTAGGACATAATTAAACCACCAGAACTTGTCTTCTGTGAGAGGAACAACTAGAGGAAGAGTCTAGAGAAGGTACCGCTAATAGGGAAGTCATGGTGTAACCACAGTGACGGCTGAATGCTCTGAAATTAATGTAGGGGAAGACTCTGCTATCTATAGAGCATTCTCCCTTCCTTTGCTCATATTATTATGGAGGTATTTTTCCAAGTGTGACCAGCCAAGAAGCAAGTTAGATGAAATACCTAGGGCAGGGGTCCCCAACACTTTTGAGCCTGTGGGCACCTTTGGAATTCTGACAGAGGGTGGGCACAATCACAAAATGGCTGCTGCAGGAGGCCAGGTAAAGGTAAAGGTTCCCTTGCTCGAAAGCCAGTCGAGTCCGACTCTAGGGACGCGGTGCTCATCTCCGTTTCAAAGCCGAAGATGTTTCCATGGTCATGTACCTATTTATCTACTTGCAATGTCTTGCTTTCGAACTGCTAGGTTGGCAGGAGCTGGAACTAGAGACGGGAGCTCACTCCGTCATGCGGCACACTCAGGTCTCGAACTGCTGAACTACCGACCTTCCACAGCCTGCAGTTCAGCGTCTTAGCCAGCCACAAAATATCAGGGAGTGAGGTTATATAAAACTCCAATAGTAACTCTTCAACGTTTCAGGCAGAAATCCTAGCAGGATGCTTTTTAAATTTGCGCAGCCAATCAGAAATCCTGCTGAGCAAATGCCCCACCTAGCACATCCCACTTTCTGGAAGTGCTTGGAGGGTGCCAGTAAAAGTGTTGCCAGGCCCCATTGGTGCCCGTGGGTACCATGTTGGGGACCCCTGACCAAGGGACTGTACTTCCCAGAAACAGCATTTTCCCCTGTCAATAACTTGGGATTCCTAATTTACATTCCTGTATACGAATCCTGGTATAGGTAAATACAATGACAGAATCAGTATTGAAAGAGATTCAAGAAGCTGTATACAGTTGTTGAAATCCATGCAAAATGCTCAACTTCTGAATGCTACAGACCATTGCCAGTGTCATTTTGACACAATTTATTTTGCTGTGTTTTAGTCACTATCAGTCATTCAGCACCTTTGATCATGGTTAAAGCCACACATACCTCAGCACTGTTTGTTACTGTCCAGTAGGCAGCCTGAACGGATGCACAGAAGACCACAGCAAAACAGAGGAATCCCTAAGGATGAGAGGAGGCATCATTAGACCATGCACTACTCCTTGGTCGAATCTGCACTTGCATTTTAAAATCAGTTTCGTGCTGCTGTGACGCTGTCTTTCTCTATGCTTGTTTGAATGTTGTTTGGAGAAGATTCATTTAAAGCAGTGCGGAGGCGCAATTACAATGGAGCTGCCACGAGAGGGCGATAAACATATGCAGACATGCAAAAGTATACTCGCACAGTTGAAGTGTGAAAATGAAAGCAAATGTAGACAGTTTTTTTGAAGATGGAGTCAGAAGGCTGGGACACCAGTGGGAAAGACAAATGCAGATTCAACCCTTCTTAGGTGCTGGAAAGTGCTGTCACTGAGGTTTCTAATA